TATGTTTTAATTTTAGTTAATTTTGTTGTGTTTGTTATTTTTTTATTATTTTTAAATGTCTATATAGTTTTTATCAAGCTTTAGTTGTTTTCTTGTTTGATTTAATTTTAGTTTAGTACTTCAGCTTGAGAAAATGTTGTCTTAGCAAATAACTGAAATGAGATAAATTCGTTTTTTTATTAGGGGATGCACGATACCATTTTTTCAGAACCGATCCCGATCCGACACCAAAAGTTTTGAGTATCGGACAATACCGATACCGATCTGATACCAAAAATTCTGAGTATCGGATAATACCGATACCGATCTGATACCAAAAGTTCCAAAAGTTCTGAGTATAGGAAAATACCGATACCGATCTGATACCAAAAGTTCTGAGTATCGGACAATACCGATACGGATCTGATACCAAAAGTTCTGAGCATCGGATAATACCGATACCGATCTGATACCAAAAGTTCTGAGTATCGGACAATACCGATACCGATCCGATACCAAAAGTTCAGAGTATCGGATAATACCGATACCGATCTGATACCAAAAGTTCTGAGTAACGGACAATACCGATACCAATAGTTTTTTTTTTTTTCTATACCTCAGTGTGTGTTGACCCGATCATCACTCTTTTGTGTATTACACACAATCTACTAAATATAGACAACTTCATTATAAAGAAAAATAACAAATTAAAAAATATATAATCATAATCTATGAGAAAAATACTATTATTAACTAGGTTAGTGGATAATTCAGCAGCAAAAGTTACTGATGAGTTCACAATAATTGTATAAAATCTAAACATTTAGAGAAAAAACTATTTAGTGGGGTAAAAATAAAAGTAAATAAGTGTAATCTGGTAAAATGTTCGCAAAAGTATTATAACATGAAAGGCTCCAATACAGAGCGGCACAAAGCGTTTATACGCATCCCGTGCGCAGAAAGACGCGCTTGAAGCAACACGGAGTCATCTTTCTATGCAACTCCGCATAGAAAAGTTCAAAGCACAAAGGGAAGAGACATTGATGCGTAGTGTATTATATCTGTGCAATAGTTTATTGAGCCTGTTCTTTTAACAGTTTTAAATTTCAGTTACTGTGCGCGTGAAGAACAATTCATAGTACGCTCTACTCCACGATCTAACAGACAGCCGGTAGAAAGTAACGTTAACATGCTTTAGAAACAGCACGGAACTCCAGCAAGATCAAGTATAATAATAGGAACATCGTATCATCTTAGAGAGAGTTTCGTCGTCTTGACTGTCGTAACACTGAATGGGGATTCGAACACTGAATGAGGATGAGAGACAGCCGCAGCGGAGAGAAGAGTTTACGGGAACTTGAATTTAACGACTTAAATATTCGTACCTCACATTAAACTATGGAACGGTCTCAGAACACTTGAAATATAGTGCACGGAAACTTTATGGTGCTTTATAATGTTTTTGTGCCTTTCGTGGGGCTTAACAATAACACAGAATAGTATATATGCACAATATCGGATTTGGATCGGTCTCGTCAGATCCAGCAGAAAGTGGCAGTATCGGAGCGATACCGATAATCGGCGCACCCCTACTTTTTATATTTTATTTTATTTCAAGTAATTACATTTTTAATTACATTATTTTTTAGTTAATAATAAACCTGATGAAAAACTCATTTTTAATTAATGTAATACGCTTCCAACTTTATATATAGTGCTGTGCAATAATACAGTTTACATTTTACGATGATAGTTTTCAGAACATCTCGAACATTTCCCTGAGATTTTTCACATTACTATCATGAGACTTTAGGGGAATGTATGTTTAATTGTCTTGAAAATAAAGGCATGATACAAAAAAACAATCTTTATTTCCCTTCAAGAAGACGCACTTTCTTTTCGTTGTGTTTGATTGTGATGTGAAATGTGCCTGATCACGATTCATCAGTGAATTTCTAAATCAATAAACAGTGCATTGATTCCAGCAGCCGCACAAAAACTCGTCATATTCTAGATTTAATTAAACGGCTGTTTGTGTTTGAAGCCCTCGAGCTCCTCAGAACCGTCATCTACTGAGGAAATCCAGATCATACAGAAAATCATCTGATGAATTCATTTCTCCAGTCCTTTCTGTGTGTTTCTTCATTAGCAGCGATACTCAAACATCTACAGACGTGTCCAGCTCGCTTTACTGTATCCTGTCAAGCTTAAACAGACAAAAATGTAGAAATAAATAGCATAAAATACAATAAATCTGATAAGAAATTCATTGAAAATGTTATATTAGTAGCATGAGATTTTCTATATTTCTTAGTGTCTTGTGCAGTACTTTCTGTTTGGTGGATTGATGAAAAATAGAGATCAAACTTCACCCTAAAATTATAGGAAATCAAATGTTGCATTTTGATATAATCATTTTTTGTGACCATCAAGGGTTTTCCTTCCTTATTTTTAATGACATGTTTTCCCATTAAAATTCTCATTACTGTAATGCTTATGAACATTTTACTTTTAATTATTTATTTATTTTTTATTATTATTAGTTAAATAAACCATGAAAAAATCATAAAATTAACTTTAACACGAATAAAAAAAAATATAATAAAATTAAATTAAAAAAAAATATATATATATATACACTGAACAAAATTATAAACGCAACACTTTTGTTTTTGCCCCCATTTTTCATGAGCTGAACAAAAAGATCTGAGACTTTTTCTATGTACACAAAAGGCCTATTTCTCTCAGATATTGTTCACAAATCTGTCTAAATCTGTGTTAGTGAGCACTTCTCCTTTGCCGAGATAATCCATCCACCTCACAGGTGTGGCATATCAAGATGCTGATTAGACAGCATGATTATTGCACAGGTGTGCCTTAGGCTGGCCACAATA